CCCTATAGAAATATTTTGGAGGAAGTTGAAAGTCCGTGTTGCCCAGCGACAGCCCCAAAACATCATTGCTCTTGAGAAGATCTGCATGGAGGAATGGGCCAAATAGCAGCAACAGTGTGTGCCAATCTTGTGAGGACTTACCAGAAAATATTTGACCTCTGTCATTACCAATAAAGGATATATAACAATGTATTGAGATGGACTTTTTATGGACCAAATACTTATTTTTCATCATAACTTGCAAATAAATTCATTAAAAATCAGACAATGTGATTTTCTGGATGTGTTTTCTCGTGTTGTCTCTCATAGTTGAGATCTACCTATGATATCAATTACAGGCCTCTCTCATCTTTTAAAGTGGGAGAACTTGTACAATTGGTATCTGACTAAATACTCCCCCCCCCCCCCCCCCCACTGTATAACAGTTTCACAAAAACCTTGTTTGCTTTTAGTAGGTGTGTTTGTTCACACAGAACCATAAAAATCAAGCCTTTTTGTCTTAGTATTGATGGCAGAGTGCACTTATGCCAGAGTTCGACCTCACCAGCACTGTCATCTTTTAGCTTTACAACAAAATAGCCGATAATACATGTCAGGTTTAAATGTATTATCAAAAGCAGAAAATTGTTTTAAGCATCCCATTCTCAGGAAATGTTTTATTGTTTGTTTTTTAGCAGAATAGATATCTTTTTCCAGAAGTAGTTTTAATTGCATTGCTGGCAGCATGCCTAAAGCAAATTGATAAACTCAATAGCAGGCACTTGATATTTCACACGAATTGCTCTTCTTGAATTTAAGAGAACCAAGTGCCTGTCACAGTGATACTCAACATGGTGATCTGTGGAGCAGTGCTGATCCCAAAGCCATGGGTTCTAATTTCTGGCTAGTTTCTAAGAAAAAAAGGATATAAGTTGCAGTCAATAGATACAAATATGATATTGCTCCTTGGCAAGTTGGGGGGAAATGGCTGTCACTTGTCTTAGATATTCGGAGAAGCATGGACCTGTTTTATTAATCTGTACCTCAGGGCATGGACTCCTTGTCATATTTTTTCCCATTTTTCTAGATGCGTTAAACAAGAAATGGAAAACGACCCACTTCTCAAACCGGCTAGCTCAAACACTTTGGGACAAACACTGGACACCACTGCCTAAAAAGGCTTGACTGGACCCAAACCTTGAAAGCACCAGAGAAAATCAAATGCTTCCTTATTAATGTAACCTAACTGTTTTAGAGCGCTACAGTCGTCACAAGCCACTGTAGTGTCTAAATCATAACCGTTGCTTTTCAAACAGTGATAAAATTTTTAGTTTCATTGCATTGTTTTGAATGACACTATAAATTTTTCATTTAAAAAAAGTTTCTTAATTGTACCTAGAATTATAGCACAGTTTAGAAACTTTGTTGTCTGAAACACTTACCTATGAACTAACTTGGAAAGATCATATCCATGTCTGTGTTCAGTCTTTTTTTTTGTTTTTTTGTTTTTAATGAAATTGGATTTCACTGGAAACAAATTGTGTGCCTACCATGTGCTTAAAAAACAAAAGTCAGAAAGGCAAGCCTAGCCTACTTATCAAACGGTTGATAAAACAATTAAACATTTTAGAAATTTTAAACTTTATTTGATGATTTTGATTTCTAGAATATTTTTGTGGGACGGGAAGGAGGGAGGGAAACCTGAATGCAAAAGAAGTCTAAATGGATGCTAATCTTTCTTTTAAAAAAAAATTGTGTGTGTGTGTCTGTATATAAAGGCACACAAACTCCGTACAGTACAGGATATGATCTCAATGTAGTGCATATAAAACTGCAGATTGATTTTCCTTGAGTGCTTTATACTGTTTAATTACATCTCCATGTAGGGCTGAAAAAAATTACCTATGTTTATATATAAAACCGTGTTGCTTTTGATGTTGTGTTTATTGCACACAGTGATGTGTGCAATAAAGTTTTTGCATATGGTCCAGTTAAAGCACGATAGCCTTGCAAGTTAAGTACTGCTTCAGTTCATTGTTTACGCTGGAATTTTTTCTCCCCATGGAATGTAAGTAAAATAGTGAGTGTCCAATAAATATTAAATACTAAAAAAAAGTGTTGTTTTTTTAAATAGTAGTTCTTTGTGACATTTTCTAAAAATAATGTTCTTGTCTAATTCAAATCTAATAAAACACATTATGGTCTGTTGCAGTGGTTCTCGGCCTGTGGTCCATGGAACCACCAGTGGTCCGCAAAAACTAAAATATGGTCTTCGGCTTCACCATTCCTACACCATTGCAACAAGAGCGACTGATCTTGCGAAACCCTCTTATAATGTCAAAGCTTATTAAATATGGCTTTCTGTGGGCAAGCAGATGGCGACTACTGGGTGGCATATGTTCTGTATTAGAAACTAGAGCTGATGTAGTCTATCCAATGCAGTTTTCTGAATCAGCACCCCAAATAACCGAACCCAATCTAAAGTTGACCAAAAACTAATTTGTAACCCTTTTGGTACTAATGTTGGAGAGAGGTACCTGGTCAAAAATGGTCCTTGGTCAAAAAAAAGGTTGGGAACTACTCGTTTATTATAACAAACTCCACACATCGGTGGTGGACAACAGTACCGTATGTGCTGTATGCAGCCCCAGACTGTTTATAACCTTGATGCCAAGAGGCTGACAATGCAGTAGCAGCCCAAAATACATTTCCTTTCATTAATGAAGCACTTAAGGAGGGCACACCTTGTTTTCAAGCACAGTTTCACTCCTGGAAACCTTTAAGAATGATGATACTTGAAAACATGCCTACACACCTTGTTCTATTTACCAACAAGTAAACTAGAATATTCAAAATCTACTGTAAAAGTCACTTTCTCTCTTTCTAACACTGCTTATTATGGCATAGTAATAATAAATAAAAATAATAAATAATAAATAATCCTATCTCCCTGTGGAGACTCAGGGCAGTTTAAACACAAAAAGGCAAATATTCAATGCCCAGTAAAGGCAAAGGTAATGGTTTCCCCTGGCATTAAGTCTAGTTGTGTCCAACTCTGGGGGGTGGTGCTCATCTCCATTTCTAAGCTGAGAAGCCAGCATTTTCCATAGACATTGCCAAAATCATTTGGCCACGATGACTGCATGGAACTGCGTTACCTTCCTGCAGAAGCGGTACCTATTGATCTATTCACATTTGCATGTTTTCAAACAGCAAGGTTGGCAGAAGCTGAGCCGAACAAGGAGGAGCTCACCCCGCTCCCCGAATTCGAACTGCCAACCTTTCAGTCAGCAAGTTCAGCAGCTCAGCGGTTTAACCCATTGCGCCAGCAGGTCGCCCCTCAATTCCCAAGCAAGTGCAAACACATTAAAGCAATATGGCATAATACAAATAATGACAACAATGTACTCATCACCTAAAATAATTAAACATCAAAATAAAAAAACAGAATACAAATATGTCAAAGTGCAGAAGTGTGATTTCAAGAGTTTTTTGAAGGAGAGGAGGGAGGGGCCATGTTTATTTCTTTCGGAAGGCTGTTCCAGAGATAGGGGAGTGATCACGGAGAAGGCCCCTTCTCTCGTTCCCACCAATCACACTTGTGATAGGGTTGGGACTGATAGCAGACCCCCTTTTACTGATGGCAGTACAGGAGATGGCCTATGTAGGGAGGTGTGGTTAGACAGATAGTCTGGACCTCAACCATTTAGGGCTTTATAGGCTTTGTATTTTGCTCAGAAGCAGACCAGCAACCAATGGAGCTGCCACAACATGGGAATATTTCTCTTCCTGTGCTGAGCTCCAGTTAGCAACCTGGCTGCTGATCTCTGAACTAATTGTAGCTTCCAAACTATCAGTCAGTTACCAGACAGGACCTTAGCCGTTGGCGCTATAAAGGATCAATAGCAAATTTTACCATCCATGTGTTTTTGAGCCACAGGTTTTATCTCTCATCCATGTTACCTGAGATGGATCACAGAGTCAAGCAATTTTGGAAATGTGTGTATTCCTGACCTGTTCTTTATTTTCAGAGTTTGAAGAATCTCTCCTGTATTTGCAGTCTCAATTGTACACACAAAGCAAACTGGTGGTTCCAAGGATTTTATATAGTGAATAAAATTATAGTCTTTTCAAATCATTGTGACAGGAACAGCAAGAGTCATCTGGGTGTATGATACTCTAACAACCGTTTTAATATGTTCAGTTGATGGAAATCACTGCATAATATTTCACCTTAATTGGATACATTGAAATCAGAAGAGACAATATCAGCAGGAGGTAGATTGGATTTTCTCAGGGATATTTGGCTTCGAGTTGAAATGTGGCATTTTTTCCAAGCGTTACTGGGAGGTTTTTTACTTAGCAAAAGTGAATATTCATATTATGTTAGATGCCTGGTTGTTACTGTGTGTGTATATATTTTAATATGTTCATGAACAAAGTATTCAGTTCCAACCAGTCTTCCTCCCTCTTCTGTATGCAAAGTGCATAATTGAAGAAAACCCACATATTCTCTGGCCACTGCATGGGCCCAGGTTGATATTCCCTTTACCATTATGTTGTTCTTCAAGGCTGCTTCCCTATGGCCCTTATTTTTCTGACTGTTGAAGCCAGAGTTCGAAGTCTCAGGACAGCTCCCAATAATATTGTTTTCTTCTTAATAAAGTTACTCTTTGTGAAGTTCCTCTGATAAAGTTACATTTGCATGCAGGATGAGATGAAGTGAAACGCATTGTAGTACTTTTTCGTGTCAGAAGTAACTTGAAAAACTGCAAGTCACTTCTGGTGTGAGAGAATTGGCCATCTGTAGAGACGTTGCCCAGGGGACACCCGGATGTTTTACTAGCCTGTGGGAGGCTTCTCTCATGTCCCTGCATGGGAAGCTGGAGCTGACAGACAGGAGCTCACCCCATCTTGCAGATTCAAATCCTGACCTTCAGGTCAACAGTTCAGCTGGCACAATTGCGCCAACACAGCTTTATATGTAGTACATATAAACACATAAACCAGATACAAAAATGGAAAATATATAGCTGTTTTATTTACTTCCTTGACAAATTCCAGGGAATATGTACTGTTTCAGATGCAAATATGCATAGTTACTATTGGAAATTTCTATCTTTATTATTTAACATAATTAAGCTTTATTATTTAATGTATTTTTAATTGCCCCTTCCTGTTCAGTGTGTGTTCAAGTTGATTTAAAACAGAACCATAAAAACAATAGAGTGCAACAATTCCAGACACAAAGGAAAAGCTTCCTACATTCATGAGCTATATTTCTACTTTCCATCCCGGCAATTAAAGTGAACAGTGTAGAAAGGAGTCAATACTGAAGTGTTATCAAGAGAATTAATGTGTAACCCAATAATTATATATCTGATCCTTTGTTATAAGCTGCCACAAGTGTGGATATCATTTACCTGAATTCAATTATCTCTGCAGTGATAGAATGCTACATTCATAAAATGATTCGATTTATCAAGCCAGTTTTCTGGGAGGAATTAGAAGATAGCATAGCGTGCAATGAGATATTGAAACTCAATGGATATAAAAACAACAAAATAAGATTTTTCTATCTGCAGTGCCATTTTGTTGGGTCACAGGAGAACACCCTAAACCCTATTTGGCTTGATAAAACAGAACAAACATTGAAATCAATCATATTTGTTTGGCATCTGAAAGCAAGTATGTCCTTGTGTGGGGGTACGCCTCCCCTGTTCAAAAAAAAATATCGTCTCAGAAGTGATGAGAAATTGCAAGTTGCTTCTGCTGTGAGAAAACTGGCTGTATGCAAGGATGTTGCACAGAGGACGTCCGGATGTTTTACTATCCTGTGGGAGGATTCTCTTATGTCTGTGCATGGGAAGCTAGAGCTGACAGATGGGAGCTCACCCACCGACCTTCAAGTCACCAGTTCAGCTGACACAAGGATTTAACCCATTGTGCCACTACGACTCTAAAATCAGAATCATTCAGTTCAACTTTTAAGCCAAAACCTAGGGTTTATCCAACAATTCTTTTATCAGATGCAGAACAAGAAATGCCTTTGCAGGTGGTCTCTAGAAAGGGAACATCTTTCTTACTGCGCTGCTTTTTGAGGAACACATTTGTCCAGTCCCAGGAATTTTTGAATGAGAACTTGCACATCCCAAGGAAGGAGACTGGAGGAGGAGAAAGAATAGAAAATGACACATTTTAAAGATATACAACAAAGAGGCACAAGTGCTTTACTGTAATATCACGAAGAGTTTAAAAGGCTCTTAAATCAACACATTGGCTGTACATATTAGCTTGTAAAACTGTTCATTTTTGGACATGGCTGCACTTTCCTCATTTTAGGTTCTCAAGACTGTACAGCTAGTCCCCATCCCCCCATTAAACCTGAACTTTGGAGCAAGTCTTCATTTACTGAATGCATACATTGCAGCTTGAAGAGAGATTGTTACACAAACAGAAGTTTAACATGCCTGGAATTTCCAAAACAGTCACTTACTTTTTCAAAATGGCTGCAAAATAAATGACTCTGGGGACACAGATCATATGTTGATTACGAAGTATGCCTCGCATGGCTGCCTTCACAAAATTGCCTGGTCTTACAGGAGGAAGGAAGGCTTTCAATTCTCGCCTGGAAGAATAAATAATATTCTGCTTATAATATTAATTAGCTCTTTTAGATCCCTTAAATTATAATTACTTTAAAAAAAGTAACTTTCCAAGCTTTGAGATAAGGAAATATGATGTATATACTCAGAGTGCAACCAAGTCTGATCAAGCCTTGTTGTTTGGTTTGGTATTGTGATATGGCCTAAGGGCTAATCAATAACATTATTGTTATTGATGATGATAAGTAATCTGTTGTACTTCCCCCCTGCTANAACAACAAGGACCCTTCCCATGTTAGATAGTGTGTACATTTAATCAAGGTTTTATGCCCTAGGTTTCATATACAGCAGAAGGCAGCACGTTTATTACTGAGAAACCACCTCCCTTTAGACTTATGTGCTCTCTCGAACTTCTATGGGACTCTGGTGGGAGGGACAAGTGGGTATGTTTTCTATAACATCTATATATATAAATTTGTTAGGGGCATCCAACGAGGAAACAAAACTCAAAACCCCCCCAACGAAACTTAACCAAAATTCCCATGCCCATAACACAACCCACAAGGTACAAACATATCTACTCAAAATGAAAAACAACACAACAACACACTCACAAAACGGCAAAACAACAAAACTCAAAAATCCCCCAACGAAACTTAACCAAAATCCCCGTGCCCATAACACAACCCACAAGGTACAAACATACCTACTCAAAATGAAAAACAACACAACAACACACTCACAAAACGGCAAATGAAAAAAAACAAAACTCAAAAATCCCCCAACGAAACTTAACTAAAATCCCCGTGCCCATAACATAACCCACAAGGTACAAACATACCTACTCAAAATGAAAAACAACACAGCAACACACTCACAAAACGGCAAAACAACAAAACTCAAAAATCCCCCAACGAAACTTAACCAAAATCCCCGTACCCATAACACAACCAAAAAGGTATAAACATATCTACTCAAAATAAAAAACAACAAAACAACACACTCACAAAACAGCAAAACAACAAAACTCAAAAATCCCCCAACGAAACTTAACCAAAATCCCCGTGCCCATAACACAACCCACAAGGTACAAACATACCTACTCAAAATGAAAAACAACACAACAACACACTCACAAAACGGCAAAACAACAAAACTCAAAAATCCCCCAACGAAACTTAACTAAAATCCCCGTGCCCATAACACAACCCACAAGGTACAAACATATCTACTCAAAATGAAAAACAACACAGCAACACACTCACAAAGCGGCAAAAGAACAAAACTCAAAAAAACCCCAACGAAACTTAACCAAAATTCCCATGCCCATAACACAACCCACAAGGTACAAACATATCTACTCAAAATGAAAAACAACACAACACACTCACAAAACGGCAAAACAACTGAGCATGCGCATTGGCGCCCAGCCACAAGTTCCATCGCGCGCACACATGGCCTTCCGGCCAACATTCCCTCTGCGGAAACCATGCCCACTCCAAGCCCCACCGCGCCGCTTCCCGCACACACACAGACTCTGCCGCACACACACACGCAACCCCACGCTCCATCACTCCCCCTGCCGCCGCACACACACACGCAACCCCAC